AAATATTGAAATTTTTGTTTATACATTTTTTTGGCAAATACGAATTTTTTATTATATTAATTTTAGGTTAGGTAAAAATTGTAAAACTAAATTAAATTATGTGGGCAATGCAGATGCTTAAAAGTTCTTACAAAATAAAACTGCTTGAATTATTTTGAAATAAAAAAATAAATAGTAAATTTTTGTTTAAAAATAAAAAATATTAAAAAATTATTTAATACAATGTTTCTAGTAAACAAGAGATTTTTTTTATATAAAAGTTGTTAGTAAAACTAAATTTGTTTATTATATTTTTTTATTTAGTGATTGCAAGGTGTTTTTTGATTTATATAATAAGTATTTTTTATAGCAGTTTTAAATATTATATATATATGTAACAGCAATTTTAATAGTATTTTTAGTAAATTATTGCGTAGACTATTATTTAGTAGACTATTGCGTAGTCGAAAAAGTGTTTTCGTAATTTGTCAATAGATGGCGTTGCAGTCGTAGACCTCCAGTGCTACCAATCACATTGTGTCATAACATATAGTGTTGGAAAGGCGAGATTTGAAGCTACATTTAACCAAAAATTATGGAAAAGGTTCACCAGGACCGTCACATAAGCAGCATCATCAAATATTTCTGAATCTTTTAAAATAGGCTGGCAACAAAAAGAAGCTCGATGTTTGGGTACCATATGAATTGTCTGTGAAAAATTTAATGGATCGAATTAACATCTGCGATACTTTGCTGAAACAAAATGTAATGGAACCATGTTTGAAGCGAATGGTAAAAGGAGACGAAAAGTGGATCAAATACGACAAGAATGTGTGAAAAGATCTTAGTTCAAGCGTGGTGAAGCTCAACAAATTGTCGCAAAGCCAGAATTGACGAATCGAAAGGTGATGCTACGTGTTTTGGGATTGGTAAGGAATCATCCACTATAAGCTGATGCAGACTTGTCGAACGACTGATTGATTATTGATTGATTTACATTTTACTGTCAACAACTGATGAGATTGAAGCAAGCAATCAAAAAAAAAAAAAAAACAAAACGGGCAGAACTGATCAACAGAAAGGGCTTCGTCTTCCATCAGGACAACGCTAGACCACGCACATCTTAGATGACTCGGCAAAAACTGCTAGAGCTTGGCTTTGAAGTTCTGGTATCCATCATATAGCCCTGAAGTTGCACCATCGGACTACGATTTGTTTCGGTCAATGCAAAACTCCCTTAATGGAGTAAAGTTGCCTTCAAGACAAGAATGTGAAATTTACTTGTCGCAATTTTTCGCCGAGAAACCAGAAAAGTTTTACACTGATGGAATGATGTCTCTAGTGGAAGAATGCCAAAAAGTGGTCGATAATGGCCAAAAATGGTACATACACAAATGCACAAATGGTAAAAAAAATTGAGGTTTGATTAGAAATACGAAAAGACTTTTTCGACTACCCAATATTTAATTTAAAAAAAAAAAAGAAAAAACAAACGACAATTTTTTTTTATTGCTTCTATATTATTTTATAGCATATTGGTTTTTTATCATTGAGTGAAATATTTTTTTAGTTTTTTAGCTATGAATCAAGGGTTTTTTTATATGTACAATATATTTTTTTATTATTTATAATTTTTTTTGAGTTTTATTGATTTATAAAAAGTTANTAAAAATCAATTTTATTTCCATAATTTATTTTCTTATTTTTTTAGATATAAATTTTTCTTTGTTTTTGTTGTAACAAATGTTTTTTGCTATAAAATTATATTTTCGCTATCAAAACGTTACTTGGTGTCTTCACACAGTCATACCTTCACTTGCCACTTTCGTCGCTTGACAATCCGAATACTGTATAAATTACACTTGCATACACATACACACACATAATTCCATTTAAAAATACATATACAAATGTACATATGCTACAACAACTGTTATATGATCAACAAGTCCAACCATACTGTATTTATGCAGAACTGGCTTGAATAATCCAGCCACAGCCGCTCTCAGCAAATGCTGGAGAGGAAGGCATGCGCCTTTGTCGGTCATAATGAGCTTTCGACATTCTCAGAATTTTTTAATTTGTACGGCTGCCACCGCCGAAAGTAAAAAAATCTAAAAATAGCATTTAACAACTGTACTCATATACATATATAAATATATAGGTATATACAAATATATATGTATGGATACAGATTATTAATCTCGCTTACTTTGTTATATAATTGTGTTATTAGGGTATTTTATTCAGCATAAACTGACCAGTAATAATTTATATCTATAAATCCTGAAGTAGAAACGAACTACTATGCAAAACATTAGTCATGAACTAATATTTTTTGGACTAAAAATGAACTAGTTGAAAAAGAACCAGTCTTTTAGCAAGAAAAAAGGAGTTTTTGGAATTTATTTTCTTTTAACACTTACTTAATTTAAGTCGTGGTTTTTGGGTCATGTCTCAACTAGTTTCTTTCGAACTAGTAGGAAAGTAGTTTACTTTTGTAATTTGTACGCAGCCGATTACAACTTAAGCGGAACATCACCAAGTAAAATATAGCAATTGTTTGTTTATATGTTAGATACATGACTTAGCAGTTGAGCTTGGGATTCGTATGATCTCCTTCTACTATTTATTTTAGCTGCTGGTTTTATTTGAAAATAATATTATAAAATAATAGCAATAAAGGCAGTTGTATCTTAGTATATAATAAAACAGATTAAGAAGTTCAATAAAAGACATTGAAACCAAGTTACTTAATCACTTAAGCGTCTTCTTAACTATGTATGTATACAGTACACCAAGCAACACCAAACTCCATAAGAAAGTTTAGGTTTATATTTACACATTTAATTTAACATTAGCTCATTCTTTTTACTACCAAAAATACTCTTGCAAGGGCTGCATGTATTTACTCTACGTTATTTACATACAGACATGTACATATATATATATATACACACATTCATAAATAAGTGTCTCAAGAACGGCTCAGAAAGCAATTCAAATCGCTGGCTGTCAACTGTTGACGTTGTTTATCAAAATTTACCGTTTCTTGTTAACTTTTTCATTGTTTTTGCAGCAGCTGTATTTCCTATTTCTTTTGTGTCCCTCGAAAGACTGAAACAATAAAAACTAAGAAAAATATAAAGACGGAAAAAGTATAACAGCTGCTTTGAGTTGACTTTTATCAAATAAAAGGCCAATGCAGAACAAACATACAGCTTTGTTTAGCATATTGGAAACAGTAATCGTCAAACTTTACATATATCCCTAAGCTTAGCAACCGAATATATGTTCTCCTATGAAAGAGAACTTGATATAAGGATAAATAGTACATATTAATCATGTTCATCTGATTAAAGCTCTGAAGAATTGCCATTTCACCGCTGATTAAGTTATGCTTTTGCAACTAGAAGTTCACTCTATCTTGAATGTACAAATTTTAGGAGATCATTTCTGGAATAAATTCACTAAAAAACTACCTTAACTATATGTGACTTAAAATAATTTTTTGACATTATTAGAGGCCAGCAATGTCACCTTGACTAATAGTATTTACAACTATGCAAAAAATTTACGTTGTGTGTCTCTCAAAACGACATTCGTTGAGTTGACGAATCACGGGATCGCGGGCATTTAATTGGTTTGAAATCGCTTAACATAAATATTTCCAAAATAAAAATGCTTCTACCAGCAACTCGTTGTAATAATTTTCATCATGCACTAATTGAGCAATTAGTTCTCAATTAAGACATTCATTGATATCGAATGA